AAAAAATATGTATTTCTCTTGTTCTCCCAGCCTTGCACAATTGGTTTCTCAGCTCATTTTTGGGCACTCCATAAAAAATCAAACACACCAATTCTTTTTTTAATCTTTCCCATTTTTCAAACAATTTCTGTTTCCCTAGCTTGGAGATTTGAAAAAAATCAAGATAATTTTCACTGAAGATGAAAATGATTTTCGCGTGAAAATGATTAGCAATCAAGAATTTTTCTCTTGTTCCAATAAATTCAATGTTAGCCATTTAAAACCCATTTCATGCCAAGTTCCGTTGATAGTAGTGATAATTCCCTGGTTCTCTCGATGAAAATAATTCAACAGATCCTTTCTTCTCTTGAAATGTATGACCATGCTCCTTTTGTATGGAAAAACTCTTCCTCTAAAATATTTAACTTTGTGCAGCAATATTATTGTTTACATCATATACTAATACAAATACACACCATGGTATTTTGTTATGTGATAATCAAATTTGAGGTGGGTCAGAAGAGGTCAAATAAATACTGTTCTTTAAATTTTTTTAAACCCTCACCCCCGGTTAATTCCAGTCCCTGTTGTGGGAAGAGTAGGGATGTTTTCTGGAAGCTAAACAAAAAAGCTTCCATTGGAATTAAATGAGTACGGATATTTTCCAAAACACTGACAATTTGTCAAAATCTGTCAATCCTTTTTCGAACTATAACAGTTCAAACACCACACCTATTAGGGCAGTACATGGCCACATGTAGCTTTAGTATAGGGGAACAACTTTCTCCTTCCCTATACCAAGTGGGTCAATACATCACCAACTGTTGAGACAAGTGCTGTGCTGTGGTTGCAGGGGAGGGGGGGGTTGCAATCTGTTATGGACTATCCACCCAGATATAGGAGACTATATTAAGTAACAATCTGACACCTGGTCATTTTTTGTGATTTGGAATTTATCTCTTTACAGATCTTATATCAGAATAACATCTCTTCACAGGTATTAGATGCTGGTGATCTTGCTGTGATGCCTGGAGTTGTTGATAGCCATGTTCATGTTAATGAGCCTGGAAGGACAGACTGGGAAGGGTTTGTGACAGCTACACAAGCTGCCGCATCAGGTGGAATCACCACCATTGTGGACATGCCACTGTATGTCTTAACCTTGACACATTCAAATACTCATTGTGTGGTTCCAGAAAATTCCCATGTTTTAATAAGGGAAAGTAGGATTTCCAGATATTTTCTGGAGCTGCACAATCCAGTCTTATGGTTCCAGTGTGGGTTCAAACAAAAAAAGCTTTCATGGGAATACTGGGTATGGATATTTTCTGAAACAGTGATAATGTCAGACCAAAACAACTTTTCACAAGGAAGGAGGGTATCGAAATTTTCAGGAAAAACTCGTGTACAGGTGGTTTCCACACATTTTTTTAATCTGAGTCTCAGGATTTGGAGAGAGCATGCACAACATTCAAACAGATCAGACTGTAATTAAAGATATATCAAATAAATGTAATTATTTATTTATTGTTTTGTGTTTCTCTTCTGCTGCAATTAATAGGAACTCCATTCCCCCTACCACTACCCTAGATGGTTTTTATACCAAACTAGACAGTGCCAGGAACAAGTGTTGGACAGATGTTGCCTTCTGGGGAGGGGTGGTACCAGGCAATCAGGCTAGTATAGTTTGGTATTTGAACTACACTGATCTGCCTTGTTAACTGGGGATCAATTGTTTTAATAGAAAGACCCCTACAAAATGACATGCAAATTAATGTTTCATCGGACAGGCTGAAATCAAGCCCATGGTGAATGCAGGTGTCAAAGGTTTTAAGTGCTTCCTTATTCATAGTGGAGTTGACGAGTTCCCATCTGTAACAGAGAGTGATGTCAGGATGGCAATGGAGCAAATGCAAGGAACAGATGCTGTGTTTCTGGTTTGTGTCACTTATGTAGCATTGATACATGTACATTCACCGCAATTTAAGATGTGATCTTATTGATGTACAGCAACAGCTTGATGACATTCAGAGACCCTACATAAATATTGCCAGGGCAACCTGAGAAAATGCCATTGTATAAAATAACTTGCAGTGGACTTGCATAGCTCGTCAATATATAGGAATTAACTTTGCAACTTGCTTACTTAATTATCCTCATGGTGCCCTGTAGGACAGCTAAGGCCATAGCGTTGCAACTCAAACACCTGTATATTATGTCATTTTAACTGAAACCAATAAACGTTTATGCCAGCAATGTGCATACTAAATAGTGAAGAGGTTAACAGCATCGTTGAGTTGCACTTATTTAACAAATTATATGGACTAGGTTTTATAATATAATAATAATAAATGGAAAGTACTGTTTTTCAGTTTCTTAGTAATGAAAAGAATCTGACTATTTTTTTTTGCTTTTTCCAGTGTTAAATATATATATATCAGATGAGCGGCAGATGAGTGGGCTTACTTTATGTTAGCCTACAAAACAGAGCTGTATTAAACTCCATATGTACTCAAGAACTGACTAGTCTATCAAAATAATTCGTAATATGCTAATATATATCACATGTATTTTAGTTCCATGCAGAAGTTGAGATCCCTCAAAACACAGAAAACACTTGTAAAGGTAATGACATCATTCACTGCATATGATGTATTAGGATTGCCCTTTTAGTAGGTTTTCAAAATCATGAGCTAACTATGTGGATCCAACAACTATGGTTTTTAACCATTTTGGTCAGAAGTAGAGTATTGATTTTGGCCACATTGGTCCCAAATAGAGATGGTTTTGCACTCTAGTCTTTAATTGGGTATCTTTTTTGGAATTAGCTCGTCTCTTATCATGATTGATAAGACTGTCAACAAAAGCTCTTCACAGTCTGAACTAGGGAACTGATTATAAGGCTGGTCTAAAGCAGGGTCTTGATTTAAAGATCAGGCCTTAAATAGCTGGAGTATCAAATTTCTGATCAGGTTATAAATAGGATAGGGAAAATCGCAGATGTTGGTCCCACATCATGACGAGACGCAAGTGGGTCTGGACAGTACCCGATTTCCAAATCAGTAAATGATCTGGACCTTTATGGGTCATCACTGGGTTTCCAATGACAAAACTCTTTATGACAGCTGCTGCTGGGAATTGCTTCATAGGTATTGATTCTTTGACAGAGTGAAATTCAAATATGAAAGGAATGCGCGGACAACTACCCCGCATCCCTTCGAGGTACTTCCAGATAGACCCTACTGCATCTCATCATATGGATAAGGGTTTTGGGAAGTGAGCGACACACCCCCATCCAACTTCTCTGGCAGTACCAAACAGGACTTGTATTAATTAGTTTATCTTATATTTATGTTTACTGTTGATTTAAAGACCAAAAGAAGGAAAAAATTAATATAGCTTGGTTGATCTGCACCTGTAAATATGCACTAAATTGTATGGGTTTGTTACAGACTCTGCAAAGTACGCTACATTCTTACAGTCTCGTCCAGAAGCTATGGAAAACCAAGCTATTGAGCTGGTCATAAACCTTTGTAGAGAATATAGGTAAGAACCAGTGCACTAGTACCTCCTTTGAGACAGCTCTGCCTAAAGTGCCTGAAGATTCTATTTTACATGTTCAGTTCAAAAATCAGGTATTGTTTCTTTATCACTTTCCTGAGTCCCCACTTTCCACATCCTTAATGACCCGGGTCCCTGAGTCCTCACATCCTCACGCCCCACGTCCCCAAATCCTCAAGACCCACATCCCCGAGTCCCACATCCCCGAGTCCACACCTGCCGGAGTCTTACGTCCCATGTCACAGTCCCCCTCCCTCTTTTAGGCACAGCTACTTTGAGACCCTTGTCCTTCCAAACCGGTCAGCCTGTAAAATTTACCGTCTGCGCACATCTTTTGGAAAATAATTCAACACCACAGGTATCATAAACTCATTGGTGAGATTTTGTAAACCACAGGTGCACCAAGCTGACTAACAGCCGTGAACATTACATGACATTGCGTAACAACGAAAATATAAGAGGTTGTATGGAAATGTCACGATTGTGTATTTAAAGCTAGAAATAAATCGACTTACCACATTTCTTTGCTTGTTACTTGTGTTTCGAAGCCTTATATTTGCCATGTCGCTGTCGATTTTGAGGCAGTTTTAACGTGATTTCCAGAGTTTTCCGCTTTTCACAGAAATGATACAAGATTGTAGAGCGAAAAACAGTAATGCTAAAACTCGCTAACTTCGCTTTAGAACTCTTAAACCCCTCAGAAACATAAGAAATACACAAGGAAAGAGAAGAGATCGAGGCGTTTCATAATAATTGTGTATCGCAGGATCGCATCAATGGCATCGTGTAGCCTGAGAACAGGCTCTCGGTCAGCCCGAACTGCCCCACCCCGATCGCTTCGCTCATTCTTCTGTTTCGCGCTCACCGAATTTTTTTTTTCGTCCTCGCCTGTTCGCAGGCTATAGGATCGTCTTGCCTCCCCTCGGCCACTTCACTCTCCGCCAGTTTCTTCTCGGCCCTTCCAGCCGCGGTCGGACCCTTCTAGCCGGAGCCTGTTCACAGGCTAGGAGCGTGAAACTACCATATATTCCTGTCAC